GTATTTGAAGGTAGGGTGGAGTATCTGAAGATTTAATTAGAACAAAAAAAATACTCTTCTTGTTTGGAAAATGCTTTTTTGTGTCCCATACATACTATTTCCCATCAGTAAATAGGAGAAGGCATTTGACATCTCACAGGCTTGATTCAAGGACTAAAATGAAGTACGTAAAGTGTCCAGGAACTGTGCCTGGCCACTACCTGGGGAGTGCTTGTGTGTGTCGATGTTGATATTTACCTCCATAGTATTAGGTGCTGTGTAGAAATGTAAATACTGGTTTACACGTTTTTTTCCCCTTGCCAAAATGAGACCTCTTTCAGGGAAGCCACTCTTTACATATCTCAATCAATAACTGTTTGCTGAATGAAGGGATAAAGTTCCTTCAGGCCAAGGAAGGTACTAGGTTCCTTTCCTCCTTGTGGAGAGGGAGAGGCTGGTTGTTTGCCTTGAGTTCAAACTCAGGTTTTCAGCACTAGTTTTTTGGTAGGAGGTGCCTGGGGTTTTTCAGCTGTAGTTGAATCTTTCCATCGTGATAGATTGTAATGGTTCTTCCCAAGCCGAGGAAGGAAAGAAGAGGCTCAGCCAAACTGTGTTGATTTGAGAGTTAGCCCTTAGAGGAAGAAAGCACTAACTTTGTACTTTGGATTTTGTATTCTTTTAAACCAAGATTTATGTGCATAACAGGCTATTTATGAGTGAGAATGAGTAACTTTTCAGTGCTTTTACTCTTCTAACAAAGTGTAATTGTAATAGAGAGATAAAATAAAAATAGAAAAATAGAATTAAATCAACATTATGCTGTTATTAATCTCTCTAAATTATTCATGTCTAATTATATACCATCTTTCTCCTGAGAAGAAACAACTACATTGTAATTAGAGTTTAGGACAGGGCTGCCAAAAATGAAGCTCGCCTGCTGCGATCTGTGTGTCATGTTGGCGTGGTGGACAGTGGCGGTTGATTTCAGCTCTGTCTCCTAGTGGTGTTTCCTAGACTGCCACTCAGTCAATCAATCCCATTGGCCCCCAAAATGAAATCACTGCCCTCCCTGGTCTATGAAGAAGTAATGAGCTTGGAAAGGACTGGCTGTACAGACATGGGCTTGTAAAGCGGGAGTTTGCCATGCCTTGCAGAGTGATGTAATCTTTAATCTTTGCTTCCTTAGCCCTGCTTCTCACACTCTTTCCTTTGAGCTCTTTAAGCTTCTCCTGCAACAGTGTGGTTTTGCTGGAGACACGATCACTGTTAGTAAACACACTGGAGTTTAAATATTGCTATATCAGAATTACGGTGAATGAGGGAAAGGACATTATTCTGCCCCACCTTCCCCCAGTGTTCTTTTGAATGTCATTGGGTTAATGTCTAGAAAGATTCTTGCCTTCCTGTACTCAGATTTAATTGAATGTTTAGAGCCATAGCCTTGCACGTGTAATTTGGGTATTTTTCCCTCTGGGTGCTTTACCTGCAAGGTGTGCATAGTTGAGTTGCTTATGCACTAGTCCTGGAAAACGCTTCTGCTGTCCTATCCTCACAGCATGTGTCTCCTGTAGAATCAAGCCTGCCCCTTTAGAGAGTTCTCAGCAACTTTAGCAGTTATCTGTTAAAGATAAATTTATCTTTAGTTATCTTCTGTAAACAGAGTTCACCCTGGCCTGTTTTGGTTTCCTGTCCTCAAGCCACTGGCTAACAAGACACTTCCCCCTTCTCGCAGGGGAAAGGAGTGTCATTATCCTTTACTCAGGACAGATCAGAAGCAATTGGAAACCAGAAAATAGTGAGAGAATCAGTGTATGATTTGGAACTGAAAAGCAGACTTGGTTGCTTTCTCATTAAACCAAAACTGTTCCCAGCAGGTATGATTTGGAACCCTTTTCTGCTTCCTCGCAGTGTGAACTTGGATACATTTTGACCTTCAACAATTTTGCCACTTTAGATAAATTATATAACCTCTCTGGGCTCAATGTCTGCATTTGAGAAGCTGGGGATCCTAACCCTTCCTCCTTTGCAGGCTTCTGGTAGAATTAAAGGTAAAGAATTTCATGCTGTCTGACCCTCATAGTCATTGTCATTGGCATATTATTTTGGATTTATCGATGAGGATGCAGGAAGCCCTTTTTAACCATAAGCCTTTTTGTAGGTACCTCACATACAGTCTTAGATAAACTTATTTAGATATTTTATTTCCTTTCTGTCCCAAGCAGCAGAATTAGAAAGTTCCTTCTTGGAACTCTGTTCCCGTGTTGGCCACTGCTTTTTTAAAATACTTATGATAAAATTACATATTCCTGCAGATTGGCATGCCCTTGGAAGGTGGAGCACGGTTTCCTTCATGATTTTCTGTTTAATCTGCCTGTCTGCATCTGTGACTTTCTCTGGGGGCATCATGTTCTTTTGATTTTCCACACTGCGATGGGGAAGCATACAGGGAGATAAAACAAGTTAACATGTCAGAAAATCAGGCCGTGCAGAGTGTAAGGATTTCTTTTGAAATGTCTACTTTGAGCTACAGGAAGATAAGCGGTCCTAATTTGCAAGTGACAGAACCTTCAATTTTTTGGTAATTCAGATGACTGTGGACCCTGGACTACTTGGTTCTTTTTCTTTAAATGATTCATTGGTGGGGACAGTACAGCGTATTCTCTATCTAATTACAATGGCCTCTTTCCTGTGAAATTTTCCTTTTTGTTTTTGGTGTTTCTAGTCCTGCATAGAAGCTGAGAAGGGGAACAGCTTTGCCTCTTCTACTAGATGTTGAACTTGGGGCACATACTTAGCCGCTTTGAGACAATCGCCTTATCTGTCTATAGGTGTCATAGCAGTTGGAAGATCAAATGAGATGATGATGCATTAGGAACAGTCTTGCTTCTAGCACATACTGGTGTCTATTATCTTTATTTTGTAGCTGTTTTGTACCTATGGAAAGGAGGCCCAAATGCCCTGTGCCCCACTGCGCTCCTCCCTCTGTTCCCTTCCCCTATCTCACCCTCAGCAGTACATTCATCCTAGACAATAAAAGGCCCTTTCCTTTTTGTTTACATCATAAAATATCTTCTCTATCCTACAGTCTCTGGAAAACTTGCAAGTTGACCTCAGACAACCGTCCAGCCAGTCAAACCACGTTCCTCAGACACATCCACATCTTTCTGAAATAACACCCCCTCACAGTCAGTGACTGCACTGCTTGCTTCTCTCTTCCTAAAGCATTTTATTTTGGTCCAGATATTGGGACTCTTAGACTCTTGGACTGAAAAATACCTTCTCCAACAGGCTAAACTCATGTGTGATATTCGAAGTCAGGGCAGTGGTGACCTTTGGGAAAGGATGGTGGTCACACACGTGTTCACTGCAGGAAAATTGAGTGTAAGGCAGTCAAGACTTCTGTGCTTTTCTGTCTGTATATAATACAAATATTATTACAAATGTTTCTTAATTTTTAAGGAAACTACCCTTTCTGCAGGCATTATAATTCACATGTGTATTTTACAATTATTGTCCCACGCTGCATAATATGTTTCAGGTGGACCCCATATAAGAGGGTGGTCTCATGACGTTATAATGGAGGTGAAAAATTCCTGTTGCCTAGTGCCGGGGTAAATCGCTGTTTGTGCCATCTCAGTCTGTCCTTAGCTATGGGCTATTCACCCTGGGTCCCGGGAATTTCCCCCAGGCACCCTCTCCCCTTTTTAACTGGGCTGACCCTCGAGGTTATTACATTGCAAGACACCCTTCAGCAATAACCATTAGGAAACTTTGAGGAAAAAAATGTTTCTTACTTACACATCCCAGAGCTACAAGGCACTCCAGGGGGTGCACAGCCAGGAAGGCGGGGCGGGGTGGGGGGAGAGAGCGTGCACAAGCACATGGGCCTGAGGTTCTGCTTTTATTGGTGTCCAGAGTGGGGGCTTAGGGTTTAGTGACCAGGCTTACGCTTTACTGGCCAATTTAAAACATGAGGCTGGGAATTTAAAGCTCAGGAAGAGAAAGAAACAAGTAGTTCAAATGGTCAGTTATCTAAATCAACCAAGATCTCTAAAACAAAGGTGGCTTACTTGGGGGGTGGGGGGTGGCCTGGCTCTTTCTAGCCTTGTGGCTCAATGTGTTTATTCCAGATAGCCTTCCTTGAAGGGACGCCTCTTTGAAGTGGAGGCCTGGGCTGGACAATCAAAGCTTAAGCATTCCAAAAAGAAAAGCCAACTATTCAGGGTTACACCACAGTTACTCTTGTTTGGGGCGATGCTGGTATAAACAGACACACTGTGCTACCAGTCCTGTAAAAGTAAAGCACATTCAATGACGATAGCAGTCTATGCCCCCTAGGTTTGTGTAAGTGCATGCTGTGACGTTTGCACAATGACACACTTCTCAGAGCATATTCCTGTTAAGTGGCGCATAACTCTATATTCACATGTGTTTTCACAGGGTTGTAGTTCATTTTTTGTTGAGAACGTCTTTCATGAAATTGAATGAGGAAGCTTGTCTAAGCCTTTCAGGTGATATGGGGTAAAGCCTATGAGCTCTTTGATCATACAAATATGTGCACAGACTCTAGTTGTTCCACTTGTTATTGACTGTGTTCTGATAAAAATGAAAATTTAAACATGTTGCTACCCCCTTCACCCACAGTTGTAACTCTTACAGTTTGAAAAATGTGCGTTGTTGCTGCTTTATCTTTCTCTATAATGTTACTTTGCAGTTATATACCTGAATGGACAAAAGATAATTCCTAAGTCTATGATTTTAAAACTCATATTATATACCATTTAGATATACCTGGTGTGCAATTATTTATTGGCATTGGATGCACATGCTTGTTTCTGCTTTTGCCTTGTAAAGCCTACTTTGAACACCATGACAGAAATTATCTAGGAAGTGGGAAAGAACAATTTTTACTCTGGATAGTGAACAAAAAGTGAATAATAGCTACCTTGGATTTTAGGTTTTTCCTTAAAAGCAACTTACTGCCCGAAGAATGAACTTTAATTTACTTATTTTTCTCCTAGATTGGAAAGAAAGCCAATGAAGAAAAATAGCATGAATCAGGTAAATGGATTTTTAATTTTTTATGTACTTTTTAATGCTTCATTTATATTTCCCCATGTTTTCCCACTGAGAAGAACTAAACAATTTTTGTGGCTATCTTGAACATGTAAGGAATGGTTTAGGAATATAGATGTAATAATAAACATTTATAACATTTAATTTAGTTGTGTAGGTATATTTAATCACATTTTATATAAAACAGTAATGCTTTTTTCTATCTCAGAATAATTTTCTTCCAACTTAATATACATATTTGATATCAGTGTCTTCATTATTGGAGTCACATTTTTGAAGCCTCCAATACCATTTTCTACATGATGTTATCATTTTAGTTTGTGATACAGCACTTTTGAAATTCATGTATGGTGCAATAATTGTAAATTTTATTTCAAGTCACAGGTGACCATTTGCAAAATGTTAGTTGTTATTTTTCACTATTTTCTGTGCACATGAACATTGGAGACCTCCATTGTATGACAATTTGTAGATTTACTTTGTTAAATCTCCCTCCCTCCTTCCCTCCATCTATTTATTAATTTGTTTTATTTATTTTGAGGTAATTGCATGCACATGGTTTCAAATTCAAATAATGCTACAGGATGGGGCAAAAGTAGGTTTACCGCTGTGAGCATACAAAACAGTTTATTCTTGTATTATTTATTATTATTGTATTATTTTCCATATGAACAACTGTAAATCTACTTTTGCCCTACTCCGTGTAATATCCATTCTTTGTTCATTTTGAATTTCCATTCCTCCTTTACCCAATGGTAGCCCTTTTCCACTCTTAGTTATATTTTCTGGTGTTCACCTACCTATTCCTAAACAACACAGTGAAGGCTGTAAGTGCTGTTAAGTGATTTGTTTAAATTTTAGACAGATACACTGATTACCAGCTGAGGATTTGCCTCCCATATACAACCCTTTAATCTCACTATACACGTACTGTTACTGTTTCTCCCTTCTCTGGGTGCAGTCATGTTACGGTCCATGGTTAAATCAATATTTAACATTTACTTTCTTATGACTCTATTTTGTTCATGGTTGTACTTTGTAATACTTACGGCGAAACGTCGCAGGTCATTCTGCTTCACAGTTGGTCGTGTGTGAGCTGTTTTATTTCTCTGGAAAATGTTTGACTTTTCTTTATCCTCAGAATTCCGAAATTTCATGTTAATGGTTTTAATGGTTTTTTGATGTTCACAGTCATTTCAATTCAGAAACTCATGTCCTTTAAATTTGGCAAATTTTCCTGTACTATTGCTTTGATAATTTCCTTTCCATCTTATTCTCTATTTTCTGCAAGTCTGTCAGTTGGATATTTGGACCTACTGGTTTAATTCTCTAATTTTCTAGTCTTTTCTTAGTCACTTTTTATCTCTTTGTGTTTTTCTTCTACTTTCTGAGAAGTTTTCTTAGTATTTATTGAACTTTTATTTTCTGCTAGCATATCTGTAATTTCAAATTTAATGTTTCAATTGGTCTCTTAGTATTTTCTTTAAATAAGATTCTCTATTTCACGGATGCAGTATTTTCTCTTTTCTTTTTAGATTATGAATTGAATTATTTTCCTGGGGATTTTTTTTTTTTGTGCTTTTTACCCTTTTCTTTTTCCGGTGTTCCCTCTTTCTATCAGCTAGTTTTGGTCCCTGATTTTAATGTTAGAAGCTTTTCTCAAATGAATGGGGAGGCTTTGGTTTTCTGTTTATATTTAGGAGTGAGATAATAAGAAGTGGACGAGAAATCTGTTGCCTCGTGGGCTTTACTATAGGGTCTTTGGGTGGGGACCTGGTCATTAGAGGTGGTGACTCCGACAGATCTCAGAATCTGCAGGCTTTCTCTTTTTTTAATCTTTCAGTTTCTCCAAAATGCTAAAAGCTTACCTGTGAGGATTTGAGGGAGCAGTGTAGGGGGAAAGGAGCCAGAGGTCTCACCATCCAAGCCTGTAAATGATGAGATCTCAATGCTTCTCTTTCGGCCTTATTTGATGCCTCTGAGTCTGAAGTCTTGCTGTATTACTTTCTCTGGAGAAAAACTGCCTCCTGGTATGGGAGTAGGGATAGCTTGTCTGGCTCTACCAGGTGGGAGGAAGATCTGGGGTTCTAACTGCCCCTCCTACCTATACCTGTCTATATCTATCTGTATCTATATCATCATCTATATATATCTAGCTATCAATTATTTTTTGCTTAGAACAATAGAAATTTATTATTGTGACATTGTGTAGGTCCGAAGTCTGATGTGTATCTCACTCGGCTAAACTTGAGATGTCAGTGGAGCTACGGGCTCTAGAGGAGAAATCCTTCCCTTGCTTTTCCCATCTCCTAGAGGCTGGCTGCGTTCTTTGGCCTTCAGTCCCCATCCCTGCTTTTAAAGGAACAATAGTAGGTCAGCATTCCTCTGACCTCATTTTCTGCCTCCCTCTTCCACTTTTAAGGACTCTGTGATTACATTGGACCCACCTAGGTAATCCACAATAATCTCCTTATTTTTTAAAATTGTAGTAGAAAACACAAACCATATAAAATTTACCATGATAACCATTTTAAGTGGATAGTACAATAGTGTTAATTATACTCACATTGTCATGCAACAGATCTCTACAACCTTTTCATCTTGCAAAACTGAATCTCTATTCCCACTGAACAACTCTTCTTTTCCTCCTGCCCCCAGACTCTGGCAACCACCATTCTACTTTCTGTTTCTAGGGGTTTGACTACTTCAGATACCTTATATAAGTAGAATCTTACAGTATTAATCCTTTGGTGATTAGCTTATTTTTACTTAGCCTAATGTCTTCCCTGTTCTCCATGTGATAGCATATGACAGGATTTCCTTCTTTCTGAGAATAAGTAATATTACTTTTAATTGATTTTTATTGTCTATTCTTTGCTTCGTCACAAAGATCAGGAAACATGTTGTACAGAAGTAGTGGTAACTAGCACTCTTACTTCATTCGTGATTGCAGATTTTCAAATTTTCATCTTAAGTATATGTTTTCTATAGTTTCTGTTTTGTATCTATGTTTTATTAGGTTAAGGAAGTTACCATCTATTTATAATTTTCGAAGATTTATTTTAAAAATAATGTTATATATGGGTGATGGTTTTTTAATCAAATTTTGTTTCATGAACTATTATAATAATCTTATATCTTTTTTCTTTATTGTTAATACGGTGGATTACTTTGATTTTCAAATGATATCTCAACTCTTTGTGAAATAAACAAAACTTAGTCTGGAAAAAAAAAGATTACATTTATAGTCTGGAAAAGAAAAAAGAAACCACACTTTCTTTATCCAGAAGTGGAATTGCTAGGTCATAGTGTAGTTCTATTTTTAATTTTTCGAGGAACCTTCATACTGTTTTCCATAGTGGCTGCACCAATTTTACATTTCTACCAGCTGTGCACAAGGGTTTCCTTTTATCCACTTCTCGCCAATATATGTTATTTTCTGTTTTTTTTTTTTTTAATAGTGGCAACTTCTACAGGTGTGAGGTGATGATATATCATTTTGTTTTGATTTTCATTTCCCTAATGATATTGATGTTTACCATCCTTTCATATGCTTCTTGACCATCTGTATATCTTTTTTGGAGAAATATCTACTCAAGTTCTTTGCCCATTTTTAGGTTGGGTTATTTGTTTTTGGTATTGAGTTATAGGAATTCTTTACATATTCTAGATATTAACCATACATACACACACTCAATGTGTGTGTGTGTGTGTGTGTGTGTGTGTGTGTGTATTTGCAAATATTTTCTCCCATTTTTTAGGTTGCTTTTTCATTCTGATTATTTCCTTTGCTGTGCTGAAGTTTTTCAGTTTGATGTAGTCCTGTTTGTCTATGTTTGCTTTTGTTGCCTGTGCTTTTGGTGTCATTTCCAAGAAATCATTGCCAAATCTAGTCATGAAGATTTTTGCCCTGTGTATGTGAGAGTGTGTGTGTGTGTAGAAATTTTGCAATTTCAGGCCTTATGTTTAGGTCTTGAATCAATTTTGAACTAATTTTATGTATGGTGTAAGGTACGGGTCTAACTGCTTTCTATATAGCCTTTCAGTCAGTCCCCTCTTTTCTACCCCTTACCTTCTCCTTCCTGGAAACTGGCAGCTCCATTTCCTGAGTCTTATCATGGAGCAGTAAGCTGGCTTTTTGTTGGCTTCTCACGCAGCAAGGTCCTAGCCTGCTCTGCTCAGTTCAACAGTCATTTCTGCTTTCAGCTTCCAAAATTACCATTATTGTCTGTTGCCTGCTCAAATATACTTTGCTGCTCTTTTTGTCTTTATAGATTTATATCTTTCTCTCTCCTTACTATAATTTTAATGGAGATTTAGAAAGAAGCAGAGATAAACAACCCTATTCCATTGGCTGTCTATTGCTTTTTTAAATGATACTTAAGAGGATTTTAAAAAATAATATCTCATATTTTCTAGTGTCAGGTCTTACCTCCAAAAATAGTTGTTCAATCTATTCCTTTGCTTCCTTTTGTTAACTAGTTTCTGTGTCAGGTGCCATGTAAATATCCAAAGCTGGCATTAATTATTTAATTATTACTCAAAATAACCTGAGATTTTTGTTTTTAATATGAGTCTTAGTGAGGTCTTGAATATAAGATGGCACCCTATTTCCTGAGATAAACTTTTTGGGAGGGAACCCCTTGATTTATCTTTAGGTGTATATAATATGTTGGTATTATCAGATGATGTTCTTTTATGTAAATATTTTTTACTCTGAACCTTTAACTGAATACCTGTAAACTAAGATAATGGCAAGAGAGTCCTATGTTATTTTTAGTTGGCTGTGACAGTGGCTTTCTATTATATTTTTTTATTTATAGGTGTAGCACTATTTCTGACAGGATGAAGAATGATTAAATAAGGGATTGCCTGGAATAACAAGGTCCTCAGGGACAATCAAGAGTGGGTGTTGTTGTTGTTGTTGTTGTTGTTCCAAAAATTGTTTCCTAGCAGAGTTAAACCCGTCAGTTGGCTCGGGAAATTAACTCAGGTTGGTATGTTGAAGTGCCTAGGGTTTTTACCCTGGGGTCCAGCGATGGACTCAAAGAATTCAGGATCCTTGTGAATTTGAGTGGCAGTAGAATAGGCTTAGCTTTCATCAGGTGCTCAGTGATGTGGAGCTTATATGATCCTGAAAAGGGTTGAGAACCCATTTCTAATAGATTATTCCAGGGAGAAAAGTAGAATGTTATTGATTAAATGAAACATGATAAAATTAAAATGCTATCTTGCTAGCTACCATTAGATTCCTCCTCCTTTCACATGCAAGTACAAATGACTATAAATGAGGAACTAAATGAACAACAATTTCTCTATTTCTTTGTCATATGCAAAGCATTATCTCTAGCTTCCTGGTTATGCAAGACCAATTTTCACATATGTAACTATAAAAGGTATTATTTATGAGGGTAATATTTGGGTCTCAGAGAAATGACCATCTTTTTTATCAGTTAACTTGTGAGGAGGATATCAGATACCTTTTGCTTTCATATTGATGCTACTGTACTTAATTTGTCAAAATCAGTTATTCTTTGACAATTAATGGTAGTAAATATATAAAAGAAATACCTGTATGTGATAGAAGTGTACAGACTTTAGTTTTTAATTAAGAAAAGATGGGGTAGCTTTTATGTTATGTATATTTTATAACAACAACGCGGAAGGAAGGGAGGAGGGAGGGAGGGGCAAGGGAGGAGAGAAAGGGAAAAAGAGAGAGAGAGGGAGAGAGAAAAGGAAGGAAGGAAGGAAGGAAGGGAGGGAGGGAGGGAGGGAGGGAGGGAGGGAGGGAGGGAGGGAAAAAGATCGCTCAAAGATTGGGATGGGTGGTGGTAAAGGTCAATTGGGAACTTTTTGTTTTCAATCTAATAATTTAATGCTTTTATTTATAGTGAAGTCTGCTGGATTTATAAGCTCTCTTTCAGCTTTAAAATTTTGTGATTTCATTTCCGAAGTGGTTAAGCTTAAATTGCTCTTCTCTTTTAGGTATACCATTGAGTTCTTTGGGAGTGACAAATGTGTCTGGTTGGGAAACCTATGAAACAGAAGACAAGACCCTGCCTCAGGAAGCGTACATGAGAATAATTTTAAAGGAACCTGTCGATAAATGTGTAACAGTGGCTGTTGGAGGTATGTCATAGCCTAGAGCTTGGATTGAATGTAGCGTGACTCACTCTACCGTCCTAAGTCAAGTTGAGCCATTGTCTGGGAAGGGAGGCCGTTCTTAGGGCAGGACTTCATCCTGTGGTCTCAAATACACTAGTGGCCATTGTTCTCTAAACTTGACTGTGTAGTGGCATGTCACTCTTATTTCTTTCTTAAGCAGTTCTGACTCAGCTTGTGTAGAGTCCTTTTTATTTTTCTGGGAAAAAACAAAGATGATAGAGGCAACACTAGAGTCTGGGCAGATGAAAGTGGTAACAGAGTTCTAGCCAGACCTCACTGCCTTCTTTTCTGGGAACGGGGCAGTCGGTATCAAAGCTTGTGAATGTGAGTCCTTTGAATCAGCTGTTATTTATTGGCTTTAGTCTTACCTTGAAGGACATCAAAGCTGTATCTGATTGGTTGGTGGCTGTGTCCGACTGACTGATTCCCTGTTAGTCACTAACTTTCACCTGTTTGTCTTCTTGACCCCAACCCCACATTACGGTGTTACCTGGTTACTTCATTTTCTTGCTTTATAGTCTTTAATTCTTATCTTCTCAATAACTTTTACGTTAAGGTCAGGGTCATTCATTATTTCATGTCCTCTGACCTTCAGTGGGTGTCTGGTTTTTGATGCACTGGCTTTTTTTTGATGGCATAGCCTATGTCATGTTGTATAGCACCTTGATCCTTTAAGGTTTGTTTTTTTAATTTTCACATACCAATATAAAACACTATAAAATGCTGAGTATTTTACATTTCTGGCCATCATACCATCATGAAAACATTAAATAAGTTTAATTTTCTAGATGAGGATACCAAGGTTCTAAGTGGTTAAACAGCTGGCCTACTATTTCCCAGAGAGTATGTGACAGAAATCTGGAGTCAGCACTAGGTCTGTCTGTCTCACTGTGTGCTGTGCAGACAGCACACCATGCCTTCTCCCCTTTTTGAAGCAGGGTTTGAAAAATATTCTAATGCTCGTAAAATTTTTAATCTTCTGCTTTACTTTTTTTCACTATTATTTTCTGCTTTCTCCCATTTCATGGCATCTTATTTGGTTTATAACTCTACTTACAACATTTAGTTAGTATATCAAATTAAATATTTTCAGCAATTAACTGTTTCATAATGTTACTGAGCGTATATCATTGGATTGAGACATTATTAAAAAATGCCCTTTTTCTGACATAGGCTAGATGCTGTTATTGATACATTCTGAGGTGATTATGAGGCCAGTATAGGAGACGGGAGTAGACTTTTATGTTCCTACTACAATCTGACAGTATCTGTGACTTCATTTGCACCATTACTCATATCCCTTCAGTATAGCGTTAGTGAAGATGATATAGGAGAGGAATGATGAGTTTTTGCCCAAAATCTTGTATAGTTCACAATGTGGTTTCAGAGCCTGAATCCTTTAATATGTGGAACATCTATTCAAGTGCTTAGTGATGGCTCAGGGATCACTTTCAGTGTATATAGCCGGTACACTTGCCCTGAAGGATGTGAGTTTTAAGTTTGAGTTTAAAAATAAATAGTGTCTACTTTAGTTTTTCAATAGTGGGCTACATGATTTGAAAGTCATATGTATTTAGGCTTCTAAAATATTTTCATTAAATTACAACATGCTGTATAGACTGATAAATACAGGGTCTGGCACAAATAATGCCCCATTTTTTTTACAAACTCTTTTATTACAAAATCATAAGCATATAATTCTGTAACATAACAATATCATACTCAAGCACACCATATGACATTTTAAGTGAAGTGTACAAATTAAAACTATAAATTATTACACCCATAATATTACCCTACTACCACACTCAAGCAAGCCTTTAACTTCAGTCAGACCCTGTATTTTATTTTATTTTTTATTTTTTAAATATTTTATTTACTTATTTTTAGTGAGAGGAGATGGGTGAGAGAAAGAGAAGGAGAAAAATGTCGATGAGAGAGAAACATTGATTGGTTGCCTCTTACACACTCCCAACCAGGAACCTAGCCCGCAGCCCAGGCATGTGCCCTGACCAGGAATTGAACCGACATTTTGGTTATGGGACGATGCCCAACCCGCTGAGACACACCAGTCAGGGAAATATACTGATAAATATTTTAAATTTGCACTAAAATTTTGGGAGGTAGGTGTGGTCAACCTTCTTTGAAAGATGAATCAACTGAGGGCTTGTGACATTATAAAACTTGCCCAAGCTCATGCAGTTAGAGAATGGTAGAGCCAGGACCTAAGCCTTGAGTTGTCTGATTTCATGACCTGTGCTTTTAACAATCATTCTGCCTTGTTGATTACATTCAGCAGTGACAATTAGATTGCACACATGTCCAAGCATTTTTTTATGCTTTGCATTAATAGAGAGGCAGTCTTAAACGAGTAAAGAGGCCTCATCCGCACAGAAGTGGTGGCTTCTACGGTATAGTCACTGAGGAGGCTGCGTCCAAATAGTGACAATTCTGGTTTATAATGGGACTGAGCCATTCTTGAGACCTGGGAGGTGTGTCTACTCCCACCATATGTCATTTCCCACAATGCCCTTCCTATGTTGCCAGGAGCAATTAGACTCAACTCACCTTAGCAGCTGCTTGAACAGCTGTCCCTTCCAAAGCAGTTGGGACTGGAGTTGGCCAATCACACAGTTAAGGACAGTCCACGCATTTATAGTCAACATGTAAATCTCAAAATTTACAAAATATACAAACCTCAAAATTCCAGGTATACTATATCAATTTACAAAATATACAAATCTTAAAATTCCAGGTATACTGTATCAATTTATAAAATATACACATCTTAAAATTCCAGGTATACTGTATCAATTTTACTGTAAGCATTTTTTTAATGTGTGTTTTTTCTGATTCTAAATAGAAAATTTGGTAAACATTGAAAACAAGAAAATACAAAACACCACTCAGAAGTAGCCACTGAAATATTTTGGTGTGGATGCTTCCAGATTTTATTGATATGAATATGTCTACCTCTTTAAAAAGTACAGAATTAGAATTATAGGGTTCTGGATTCATTTTTATGTAGTATAACTTCACATTTTCTCTCTTTTAAAATATTCTTTTGCAACATGCTAAGAAGTGCCTACAAAGTATCCACTATGGTTAATAGCATAGGTTATTCCATCCAATTATTAGGTAGATCTTATTCTCATTCAGTTCAGTTAGTGCCTCTTCAAATTAGGCCGCAGTGATAGGACAGAAGTGTTAACATAAACAAGAACTTTATAATTGCCACTAGTTTTCATACATCTTATAAAATAACTACTGGTGGTTAAGAATATGATGAGAAAACCCAGACGACTTCCTCTGTCACACCATACAATGAACCTGGTGTATAAATTGCCCAGTACAGATGTTGTGCAGGAAGGGAGCACTAGAAATTCTCTTTTGACCTAGAAAATTTGAAACCTTTTTTCTTTTGCTGAAGTGACTCACCTATGATAAGTAACTTCAGTTTTTCCGTACTGAGATAAAACTTCTCAAATCCTGAGTTGCAGGTGTTCGAGCCCTGCTACCTGCTTAAATGTAATGGGTGCTTCATGTCCAAGTTAATTAAGCATTTACCTCCCCCCCCCCTTTTCTTTTTGGCTAAATGTGTCACATGGGCTAAACCTGGGTCAGGCAGCGCCACGTCATGAGTGACACTGTTTTTGCGATTTCTTGGAGAGGTGGTCGCAAAGCTGTCCTGCCGCAGCTTCCCTTGCAATGGAGACCTCTGTGCCCTAGGATTAGAGAGCTCCCGCTGAGGTGATTACAGCTGAGACCGGTGAACTGTTCACAGAAGCACTCTACTTAGGCAGATATGGAGCTGGGGCTATTTTCCGTTACTTCTTATTATTCTTATCTTATAAACTATCATTGTTCAATTAAATTATCATTCTTGTTGTCCTCAACAGACCATAGCTTTTCATTCATCACTGCCCTTGGTGTCCCAGCATGCCCTGGGGTGGGCTAGGTGAGGTGCGAGGGGGGAAGGACAGGGCCTTTGACGGCCGTATTGTTTCGTCAACCAACAACTCCGCTTTTCTGTGTTTATGTATTGAATTTCCACAGAATTTTGCATATAAAAACACTGCTGCTCAAGGAAGTAAAGACTGGGAAACACTGGTCCATGGAACTTACGGGAGGATGAAAAACAAAGGGAAATTAGATGTTGCACAGTGTCACTTTCAGGTCCGTTATGCCCGTAACTCTCCTGCAGGGACACAGTCAGCCCTTCCTGGGCTCTGGTACTTACCAGAGGCCCTATAGTTGGAGTTTCCAGACGGACCTGTGCCTGGCATGGTGGTTTCCGTAGAGGTGGGCCAGAAGAGCGAGGTTAGGAGAGACGGTATGATGGCCTCCCGAGAGTTTGTGGTAGAAAGTAACCTTTTAGTGATGGGGTCAGCAAATGGCAGTGACTGGGGCAGGGTGGTGCAGGGGGACAAGTGACAAAGAGGTAGATAAACAAGAACATTTCAGACTTGGATAAATGATATGAAGACATTTATTAGGGCAATAAAATAGGGCAGAGTGTCTTAGGGTAGGAAAGACTCTTTTAAATTTGATCAAAAATGTGCAATCTGTGTCTTAATGACTATTTACTTCTCGTACTATCTATATTGTTATATTCACCAGCTTTCTTTATGAGAAAAGGTGAGATTCCTCTGTCCTAAATGTGTATTCTGAAGGAACAAAGGAAATAAGATGTTTCTCAGCGGTGGAAACTGAGATAACTTGTTTTTTTAAGCAGTTTGTGAAAACTGAATTTAAAAATAATAATTAATTTCTAGCATATAGCACATAAAAAGAAATTTTAAATCCATTTCAGGGAAAAATGAGATAAATTTCTCATTAGGATTTAAGATAAAGAAGTTGGAAGTTCAAGGTGACCAGGGTGCTAGTTTAGGTGCTTCCTACTTCCTATCTCTCCCACTTTTACTGTCTCTTACTTTAATGTCACCTCAAAGGTGCATTTTAAA